CAAAATCATTATATCAGAAAATTGATAAATGTCCCTAAACTCCTAATTATTCTAAATATCAAAGAAAAAAGACATATATAACTTGAAAACAAACCCTGTGAAGACCCTGACTTTAAAATCATCACAATAACGTTAAAAAATGGTCCAATTTATAACTGCATTGTTATCCCAAGGAAACGCAGAGAAAAAGTGATGTATGTCCAGGGAATCTTGGCAATTTAACAAATACGACTTGCACAATTAGGACAGTTGTTAGGGGCGTAGCACTGTGCTGTTTCAGCTTGCGCCATTAATTACACAATTGTGCTGCAAGTTGGCCCGACAGTTCCCCAAGTAGTGCACTTCCAGACAGGTTATTTCTAGAAACTCCCTCCTCTTGGATTGTTCTGCAGAAAATTCTGCTATACATTTAATTTTTGCTGAATTGACCAAAGCTTATCCAAAGAAAGCATGTTATGTTATCTAAACTGACTGAAGGCAGGTGGTAGCTTCATGGTCAGGTTCATCATATTGAAGACGTGCGTTTGATCACCAAATTGGGTACATGTTGCTCATGATATCGATCATTGGATTGTCTGGTACAGACTCGATTATTCGCAGACTGACGTATTATCGCTAAAATGTTGCTGAGTGTGGTGATAACAAATTTACATATCCTACACACAACATTGAAGAAATATGTGGAAGTCATCAATTACATGTGAGGTTGTGTGTGAGTGAGTGATCATGAGTCTTTATTGAGCATCACTTTGAAAAGTACTCTAGTTATATTTCTTGTTATATTATGGCACATGAGTCTATGTGGAAGTCGAGGTACAACGTGATGTACGATGAATTGATGCAGTTATGACCCAATTACCATTTTTGTAAAACACAAATTCACAATTATGGCACTGAAAACCTAGAAATATTATTGTTGTGTTCTACAGTAAAAACAAAACAAACTCAGACAGCAGACCCCATTCGGCATCCAAACTTGGCAGGGTTTATCTAAAAACCTCCTTTGTTTCAGGTGAAACCGAAATTAGATTACTGGTTTATCTGAAACTCGGATCACAAAACCGAAATATGAATGTGACAGACATCAACATTGAACATGTGAAAACACCTCAGTCATCAGGAAGGATGGATTGAAACCCAGGATCTCTGGTTCTGGCAAGCGTAAAGTATGTACCTATACACAAACAGCAGCGGTACCTAAGGTCAGCTGGGCCCCCTGCCTCCCATCAATATATGAACTCGGTTGTACTGTGTTGCTCATAATGCATCCTCTTCGTAAAGAATCACTTGTTCATGGAATAATTACAAACACCTCAATTTGCAATTCTAAATTGATTCGAGGAGTTTGTTAATCATTATGAATCAAGAATTCATTTGTATGACTCTCAATTAGTTTGTGCCATAAAAATATATATTAGCATTTCATACACAGATTTCCCACTCTACCAACTGTCACTATCAAAACTGTTCAGATGAATAGCAATTCACATCAAAGCATAAAATCATGTCACAAATGGAAAATTTGCCCCCAAGACAATATCCAAGCTCTTAAATTGTTTCAATGAATTACATTTCGTGAGGATGGTTAATGACTGAGATAATCATGACCTGTTCAAACGCATCAGGAATGTAAGGGAGATAACTCCGCAGCGAGCTTGGACCAGAAGTGATCAAGTGGATGGCACTTGATGTGAAGGGTTTCATCATGTCTGTGTTAATGGCATGGTGACTTTCACTGGACTAAGGTGACCCCAGCAGCTAAATACTAGGACAGCATCAGGCCTCACTTCCATGGTTGACAATCAAAATCGAACGTTGAAAAAGAAGTTATCTTCTCTCTATTAGCAGTTTTCAGTTGACAGGGGCTTTTCATCCACTGATATTTCCCTGCTTCTTCTAGAGTGGACATCCAACTATAAATACATTCAAATAATCTCTATTCATTTCTGGCTTTGTGGCTTTTAGCAGTGATTGGTCGATTGGCAAAGTGTCGCCTCAGAGAGGTAGGGGAAGAAAATGAGCTTCCGAGCAAGTGCTTGCAAGAATATTAATGTTTTGGTGCATGTCATGAATTACGATTTGTTATGAAATGCAGTTATAGGTTAAGAATACAGCTCTTAAACATTTCCAAGGGTATTTTTAATGTTCTTTCAGATGTTGAAATATGATTTTAACATGTAAAATTTTAGGATTCACATGGAATTGTGTATGAAAACACAGCAGCTGAACAAACCATGGACAATGACACTGACACGATGTCTCGATGACAGAAACTAATTTACCACAAGGTGTAGTTCTAGTACCACACCAAACCATGGGTACTGGTGCCATTCTTGGAATGCAGAAACAGCAGGCCGATGGCGCCTCATTGGCATCAGGAAATGTTCTTCATGGACACAACAGGCCAAAGACACTGCAGATCAAAGAATACTAGCACACAAACCCATAAAACTATGGTCAACGGCTAGATTATATCCTATGGTGTTGCCATGGGAAACCAAGGAAGACACAGCAGAATATATGGTAACACAGCAATACCAAGCCACTATGTTCATTACCATCATACCAGACTAGTATTCTTGGAATTTTGCAGATGTCGAAGAAGTTCTGGATTGTCCGGTATTGATGTGTAGCTACCTTTCTGTTTTTCAAAGTCGCTATGGTATTCTCTCTGCAACAAGCGATCATTGCCAACATTGGGACACCAGACAAACTTTTACCTTTCTTGCCTTTAAAAGATTCCAGTGTTGACACCTTTAACTCTATATTCTGAATATTCTTATTATTTTCCTACTGTAAACTTCAAACAAAAAGCACTGTACTGATGAAAAAGGCTGCCTATGAAAAAGGCCATCACCTTGTCAATTTTGGAATATAGGAAATGACTATCCTCCATACTGCTGAAAAAAAAGTTACAAATTTGACTCACGTCTTTAACTAGAATGTTAGGCAATTTCCTATATCAATTATCGTAAATACTTTTATCTTTACAAATTGAAATCTCACTTAATTTTGTAAATTTTAAAAACTTCTGCAAATGACAGTATTAATGCAATAACATTGGAGAGGACACTACAAGAAGACCCCCCACCCTAAATTTCCAGAGATGTACCAGAGTACAAATTACAGGATACCCAAAAATAAGAAAATAGTTCCTTGAATAAGAAAAGTCAATTAGGCAGCCTTAGTGTGGCTAGCATTTCCAAAGTCATCAATAAGACAGGATTACTCGCAAACTGGATATACATTTGTTGACTGTCCCGTCCACTAAGACTTGCCATGGGGAGATTAAGCCCAATGAGTGACAAGGAAATATCGTAAGTGCTTCTCCAGCAGCTCAAGGTCGGCTCCCTTGCTACAACATAATCTGATTTCTAGGAAATCCAGACAGTTAATTCAACCAATACACAGATCCAATGGCTTTCTGAAAGGTGGGGTGTCATTTATTCCATACACCATACTGAACACCTCCTTCTCAATAATAACTAAGAATACACAATAGACACTGAGACAGACGATGGATACATTTTGAACAAGTTGAAAGGTCTTCAAGAGGTCCAAGACTTCGACTTGGTGGCAAATAGTTTTTCAAAGACCACTCTACTCTTTGTACACTCAGAATTTATAACCAAATTCAATCTTGCCACAAATCATTGTCCTCATTACATAGATTTATACACTTTTCAAATTTTACACAAATTAATAATCACGGATATCTATCTAATTAAATGGATACCATTCTTCAAGCCTCGTCCCACTGTACACTTAATAATTCATCCCTGGCAGACCTTCCCAATAGATAACTATCTCTATCGATATATATTTCAAAATGATCTGGCTAATGCACTGTTTCTGAAAATAATGTCCATTCTTAGTACATTTTCAATAATCATGGCATATAAGAATGAAGGGATTGTCTTCTCACCTCTCCATAAATTCCTGCAATGGCAAATTCTATTAATAACAGTCTACAACACAGTAAACAGATCCTCTCAACTGTCTGTATGATAACCATATACAAGGCCATAACTGTCCAATATACATCAGCAATCAAACAAAACATTCTGACATTGGCCTTGAAGGCAAAATGTCAAGGTCATCTTAATACAAGAATAATCTGCATCGGAAAGATATTGGATAGCATGGCAAAAAGATGTGTAGATTCTTGTTCTGTGTGAATGGTGGGTAAGACTTTTGGGATAGGCCACCTCTACCCTTTCTGCTAACACCCAAAGTTCTTAACAATATAGTCATGTAACTGTTATCAATATTGTGCATCTTACACACAATGCAATCTGTTTGGGCAGAAAAATGAGACTTGATTTTTCTTTTTCATTGATGAGGCCAGACCAGTTTTATTTCTTGTTTCAAGAATTTTTGTCCTCAGTAACCTAAAGGCAGGAGGGAAAACAATAAATAAAAAAATCACTAGTCAAAGAAATGTTCCTTTTAAATACTAAAAGTATTTTATTTTTGGCTATTTATGAAGTTTATATGGGGCAAAAAACAATAAACAAAAATTGCTTTTGTAAACTTACATTTTTTACCAATAAAAAGCGAGGAAAATTTATTTTTTATTTTTTTCTTATTCTTGAAAAAATACGACCAGCGGATCCGTAAAACAAGAAATAAAATTGGTCTGGCCTGAATAGAATTTGTTAGAAATATTTACCATTTCACTGCATCACAAGACAAGTACAAGACAGTGCTTACATGTGAGAACAGAGCAGAATACTTTTGAACCAATGAAATGGACTGCTTCCACATTGTATAGGGTTATCAAAAACTGGGAATGTGGTGGCAAATGTGGAAAAAGCATGGTGCAGCCACTGAAAAAGTACACATGATTATTTCATATTAGTTATGAATAAAATGATTGCTATAAAATAATTTGTACTTCTACATAAAAAATGTAAAATAATCATAATCTTATAATAAAATCATGACAATGGAGATAGTGAATTGACAGGAAACATGCTGAACATTTGAGCAATACTTACATTACTTTGGATTTTAGTATTTTCAGCAATACGTCTACTCTCAGGGGTGTCTGCAACTGCCGTGTGCTTCGTCTGTGGGTAATGTCTGAAATATCACATATTTATCATGAATATACTTTATAAGTATAACTGGAACCAAAGTGATAAGAATCAGTCACTTCTTTTCTATTCCAACCAATAGTTCCAACGACAACATATATTGTTTACACATTGTATCTATCTGAGGTATTACAACAAGGCCTGAATGATGAAGTTTTCTGAGTATGTAATAAATATCAGTATGACTTAAAGATCACATATACTCTAGGGGGGTACAAATACATAAATCACTACTTAGCATCGTTATAAATGAAACCCCGCCATTAAAACTACTCATTTCGATCTTTAATTAACTTAAATCGACCTTTTTGACAACAGTGCACAATTCTCACCCGCGAACGAAATTTCAACCAATCAGAGCCGCGCGTCTCTGTGACGTCATATGAGGAATAGATATGAGGGCCGATGCAGAATTCATCTACATTTCAGGGGGTAAATTATCTTGTTTACAGGTTTGTATAAACCTGAAATCGTGACAACTGTTGTGAAAAATGAAAGCTATATGTTCTCACAACCTACTGTCATTTAATTTTGTCTCCTGCTTTGTATAGTTTCCGAGTTACAACTTGTTTTCATAGACGATTCTGTCAAAATCGCTTGGTGTTGCTAGGACTTATTTGTTCCAGCGACGCTAGTGATAGCGAAAACAATGATCAGCCTCGCTCATCACGGTTACGGTTAATTTCTTCAACCTAAACAGTGCGACATTAAGAAGGGTGGATGCCCATCAGATGCCGTTGTTTGAAAATATCCCTGGTAGTTCTTGTCTGATTGTAATAAATTATCAAAGCAGAGTGGGCTTTTTCAGGTTTTCTAATGCCTGGATGGTATAATGACTGATCCAAATTGATCTCATTTCTGTGTTTTTTTACCTCGATATTTTAATCATGTCATGTAAAAATGTAATTTTCTGAGTAAAATTGATATTTTAAACAGTGGGCCGACACTGTTTTGAGAATACAAACGGAACTTCATTGTTGCATAAGAAATACATATAAGCATTTGCTGTGTGCTAAAACTGTATGTACCTATTTACCTAAGTAAATTTTCAGATTCTTCTAGCAATGGCAAAGTAAGGTTGTTTAGTTTATGGATTCAAATAAATCAAATGTCAATTTTTAATATCATACGTAATAGACGTCATAATTATTCCTTATCCTGACTCATGCTTGTTGCTGGTCTCTTTCCTCTTGCGAACTTAGTGGAACACTTGTATCTCCTATTGAAGCTCCCTTCAATAAAACAGACGTAAAATCACTACTCACCAGAGTTGTCTCTATTTTCGTTTTGGCAGGAAACTGTAAAAACGTTCTCCCACGCTTCACTCTCCTGATTATGAGCCTGACACTTGAATTTGCAGGGAAATCCAAAGTGTCTAGTGGGGAGGTTGGGAGGGCTTACCTCATGAGTCAGGATAAGTATAAAATATCAATTTTACTCAGAAAATTACATATTTTTCCTTATCCTGACTCATGCTTATTGCTTGTAGAATCCGGCCGGATTGGCGGGCTGTTATTTTGGATGTCATGTAGTGATTTACGTCATCTATACCCCCCTATGGGAACTTCGTATTGGCACTGTACTGTAACTGCTAATCTCTGCTGCTGCTGCGACCTTGTCCTTCCAGCTGCCTTTTGATGGGGGGACCACAATAGTTAACTTTTGGTCCTTTCTTCTGTTAACATTTTATGTGAATTTTTGCGACTCCATTTCTTGATGCAAGCATCAAGTGGAGAAGCGACCCTTTTCTGTACGAGTATCCTTACAAGTACTGGGTCATATCACTTATGCTAGTCCTTAGACGTGCATTGCGACTTAAGCAGAACTCTGATGAGTGTAGGCTTTGTAAGTCATGTGATAAAAGGGCGAGACTTCGTCTCAACGCCTTTGCGGGACTGTCAACTGTTGTGCTACAACCAGTGGGCCGAAATGGTGACTGCCAGAGACGTGCTCGGTGGCAATGTCCCTCAGGTAGTGGTTGGCAAACACCATGTCTGATTTCCAAAAGCAGCCCTCCATTATCGTCTTGAGCGAGCAATTCCCACGTAGAGCGAGTGTTGACGCCAGAGCTCTAACTTCATGTGGGTTGGAGGCTTTTGGAGGATCTAGTCCTGCTGCTTTGTAGGCCCGTAGTATGACAGTTCTGATCCAGGTTTGAATGTAGTGCGGGAGACCTCCGTCTGTGTCGCTGTTGATATCGGAACAAAAAGTCGCTTGAACTTGCGTCTCCTGATTCTGGATCGTTGTAGATATACTTTTAATGCTCTCACTGGGCACAAGGATAGGTCGTGCATATCTTGTGCTCCAAGGACGGAGGATAATGCTGGGACGATGGAATTGTCTGTCGGTTGACCTGGCAGTTGATTCTTTCTGCGATGAAATCCCATCGTAGTCCCATATGCACTGTGTTTTGATTTTCATCAAAGCGTGTTCTCTCGAAGTCCAGAGCATGTATTTCCGACATCCTGGCTGCTGTTGCTAGGGCTAGCAGGAACAGCGTCTTGTGTGTCAAGAATTCGAAGGATGTCCTGTCTAATGGTTCGTAGACGTCACTGGTGAGACGTCGTTGAACAATGTTGAGGTCCCACGCCGGGGCTTTGAATCTCCTGTTGGTCCTCCAATTGATAAGAGCGTAGCAAGGCCAGTAACACTGGTACTTTCGTTAGCTTGGCACCTGTCCACATAGTAATGACTGAGCTCAATGCCGCTAGGTATGTTGAGAGTGTAGACCCTTTTAACCGTTTTGTTTGCCGTAGGTGACAAATGTAGTCTGCAACCTGAGGGTGCGTTGCTTTTCTAGCTGAAAAAACGTTCCTTGCAGCGTTATGTCTCAAAACTTCGCCACTTGTCGTCGCAAGTTATGCGGTAGACTTCCGCATGTGGAGCTAGTGTCACTGCTTTCGCTGCTCTGGCGGTACGCACTCTCTTGTTCAAGCACGCCTTGATACAGTCCACATGTGTAGTCGGAACGCCCCTGGGTTGCCGTGTGCCTGCTTTGTGTGAAGATGTACTAGTAGATTCATCCACTCTGGTAGTTGCAGTTGCAGTGGTCCTAGTTCTTGTATGAGACTGGGGAACCACACTCTCGCTGGACTGTAGGGCGCGACCAAAATCAGTTGTAGGGTCGTGGTCTGGCTGATTTTCTGCAACACCCTCGGTATGAGAGCTGGCGGTGGAAACGCGTACGCGTTTAGTCCCTCCCAGGATATGCTGAGAGCGTACGTTGCCCATGCTCGAGGATCTGGTATTGGTGAGACGAATGTTGTCAGCTGATTGTTGAAGCTTGTGGCGAAGAGGTCTATTAGCGGGGCTCCCATCTCCTTGATGATTTGTTTGAAGATCTCTGGATGTAGCATCCATTCCGTTGGAGACGGTTGAGTTGGACGGGAGAGGGCATCTGCTATCACATTCATGGCTCCTGGAATGTGGCATGCTTGTATGTGGATGTTCAGATCGTCGGTTAGGTCGAACATTTGAAAGCAGAGGTCCAGCAGGTTCAATGATCGTGTTGATCCTTGCTTGTTTATGTAAAAAGCCACTGTGGAGTTGTCTGTGTGCACCATTAGATGAGCATTCTGTAGAATGTTGGCCCAGTGGAGTATGGCGTTGACGACTGCTTTCATTTCCAGCATGTTGATGTGCAGATTTTCCTCCTCGTTGTTCCATCTCCCGGCGGCCACTTCGTTGTCGAGGTGTGCTCCCCAACCTTGGAGTGACGCGTCCACGTACAGATGAGTCTTGCACTCCGGCTCTGCTAAGTAGGTGCCTTCGCAGACATTCGATCTCTGGGTCCACCATAGTATATGTGGTCTTAGGTAGGCAGGGAGACCGAAGGGTCCAGGTCGCTGAGAGATGAGCATTGACGAAGACCTGTAATGGGAGTAGTTGTAACCGACCTCTGGCTGTCATGTCTTGTGCTGACGTGAGGAGACCCAACAGACTCTGCCATTGTCGTAGTGGCCACGGAGTGAGTAGAGCTTGTGATATTGTCTGTTGAATCTTGAGCCATCGGTCTTCTGGTACGTGCGACGATGCGGTTTTAAGCGCCGTGAGAAATCTGATGCCTAGGAACTGCAGGTCCTGTGTAGGTTCTAGGTCCGATTTGAGTAGATTCACTAGCCACCCCAGTTGTGTAAGCAGTCTGATGGTGAAGTCCAGCTGTAGTCTGAGATGCTTGGGATCTTGATGTACTTGAATCCCGTCGTCGAGGTAGAATGCACTGCGTAGACCTCGACGATGTAGATATGTGACTATGGGCTTCGTCACCCTTGTAAACAACCAGGGGGCCGATGACATTCCAAATGGCAGGACTTTCCATTGGTAGTGAAGACCGTCCAGTGTAAACCTGAGGTACTTCCTCGAGGCCGGATGTACAGGAATATGCAGGTAGGCGTCCTGTAGATCTATGCTGGCCATGTAGTCCATCGGACGGATGAGGTGGAGTAATTGAGGTAGATGTATCATGCGGAACTTGGCAGGACTGAGTAGATAATCTCTGTTGAACGCCCTCATATTGAAGATAAGTCGGAACTTTTCTTTGGAGTTTTTCTTGGGCACTAGGAAAACTGGGGAGTAGAAACCTGGTGTGATGTTGGCTGGATCCACGAAGTTCTATGGCTTGCTTCTCTAGTAGAGATGAAAACCGCCTCGTGAACCTCTCTGTCAGATGGGTCTTGAAGTCGAACTCGTGAGGGTCGACTGTAAGCGGTGGAGCTGCTTTTAGTTGTATACGATATCCGTTTCTTAGGACTCTGGATACAAACGGATCTTGCAGTAGTCCCCAGTTTTCCCAGTACCGTTGCAGACGTCCACCCACTTGTGAAGGTTGTATGGGAACGGCTTGGGGTGGAAGACTCCAGTCGTTCCGAACCCCTCTTTCATCGTCGATGATCCTTGGCGCCTCTGGGTGCCCTGCCTCGTCCGGGTCGTCCTCTATAGGTGCCTGTAGGGGCACTAAAAGAATCTTTTCCGCCTTTGGAGGTACTC